CCACTAAATCGTACACTTTAAATAGGTAAATGGTATGGTAATTGAATTACATCTCATTAAAGTTGTTAAAAGAAACACATCCAAGGGCTCAGCATCAGCCAAGGAGGATGCTGAACACTGCTTGAAATGTTCTAGCACAACCCCCAAAGGTCAAGAGGTCCCACTTAAAACTTGCAGGTAAGGTGAGGGGAGTGGCAGCAGGGAATTAAAGAAAAGACTACAACTTACTTCAGAGCAGTGAGTCTAACCTCCCTCATCACCACTACCCATTTCATGGAGGGAGAAACCAAGACCCAGAAAAGGGAACTGCCTGAAGACCACAAAAAAACTTACTGCAGAATCAGGACTTACATCCACGTTGCCTGGGCAGCGACCCTTTCCTGCTTCCCTACCAGCTAGCTACCCAATTCCAGGTGGGGTAAGAAGAGCCCAAGAAATCAGCAGGTTCCTAGATGCCAAATGAAGGGCTTCTGCTACCAAAGATAGGTTACTAGGAGTGGACAAAGTCGTCTAGGAAGAATCAAGATGACCCTGGGGCAAACTGTCCATTCTGGCCAAGACGAAGAACCCACCAAGGTCCAAGGTGAGCAAGGTCACATACTCACACCTGGACATGAATGAACTTCTGCAAAAAAGGCAGCTAAGGGGGGAAGTAGTTTGCCTAAAGCTATAAAGTAGGTAAGGAGGAGACACTGAGGTCTGGAAGGTGATGAAAGAATTGAGGGATGATGGCTCAAAGCTTGCCTTGCTCCGAAAGCCCAAACTCCACACACAACTCTACCTTTCTACACCATTATCCAACAGGCCTCCGGACAGGAAATCCCACCGAGCTTGTTCACTACAACACGGCTGCCCACAAAAAATGGCTATTCTTCAACCCTGAGCCTCATACGAAACAGGCTGCTTGTCCTGCCCACCAAGCTTGGATGGCTGATAGGGAACAGAGGAGCCAGGAAGAGAGGGGAGAAACCCAGTTCCTCCTCAAGAGACATCCATCATTCTTTATCACCTCCAGGTCCAGAGAGCTTTGGACTGAGTTCCCTAAAATCCCAAAGCTAAACAACACCTCACCAGCATCCTGCTTGACCAGTAAGGAAACTGAGGCCCAGAGAGCATAGGTAGAACCTACCCTGGTGCACCCAGCAAAGCCCTGAAAGACCCAGAGTTGGAACCCAGGCAACAACTATGGTACCACGCTCAGCTTCTTCTACCACCTCAGTTCATATGCCCCTTCTCAAAGAGCTCTTTGTGGGATCTCCAAACTCAGGATGCTTACAGGCTGACCTTTTCATAGAGCAGGCTCTCAGCAAGGCAACCATGCCTGGTAACCCTTATCACCACCACCCACCCAGCACCTGGACCCCAGGGTACCAAAAAGACTCCTAAAGGGAGTAGAGATACATTCAGAGAAATCAGGACAATGAGGAAGCCCAAGTAGTCAGAACCAGGACCAGGATCACCATCCAGACTCCCTCTCAACAACTCCCTCTCTTTCCAAGGGATCCAACTCATCTCCAGGCTACAAACAGCCCTTAGGACCAATACTGCAGTGGTAGGAGGAATGTTCCCTCTTCTCATCCCCAAAAGTTCTCCAGTTGGACCAGGTGAGAAAGGGAGAAGATCATCTTTGTCCCAAGAAGCACAGGGACAGAAAGCCTCTTCTCTGTCATTGGGAAGGGCAGGTTTCATGAGCCCATAGAATGTGATTTTTTTTTTCTTTTTTGAGACAGATTCTCACTCTGTCACTCAGGCTGGAGTGCAGTGGCATGATCCTGGTTCACTGCAACCTCCACCTCCCAGGTTCAAGCGACTGTCCTGCCTCAGCCTCCCAAGTAGCTGGAACTACAGGTGCATGCCACCACACCCAGCAAATTTTTGTATTTTTAGTAGAGACAGGGTTTCACTATGATGGCCAGGCTAGTCTTGAACTCCTGACCTCAAATGATCCACTTGCCACTCAAAGTGCTGGGATTACAAGCATGAGCCACCACGCCCAGCCTTTTTTTGTTTGTTTTTTTAAATAAAGATGAAGTCTCGCTATGTTGCCCAAGCAGGTCTTGAACTCCAGGGCTCAAGTGATCCTCTTGCTTCAGCCTCTCAACTAGCTGGGACTACAGGCACACAGCACTATGCCCAGCTTACTCCTATGTTCTTGTGAAGACAAGTATAAGGGAGGGACTGCAAGGGGCATAAGGTGGTGTTTCTGAGTTACAATGGCAGCACAAGATGTTTTTTCTTTGTACCTGGAACCAGGGATATATCTCAAGGGAGGGGGAGTAAGGAGGTGTTTTTGAGTTATCATGCCAGCACAGGATGTTCTTCCTCTGTCCCTGAGACCAGTGATGTATCACTCCCTGCTTCTGTGGGAGGAGAGAAACTATCTGACCAGAGAGAGAAGAAATAACTGGTCCTGACCCTTGAGTACAGATGGCTTATAGTGCTAGAATGATGGGAGGAAGGGAACAAGAACAAGGGGCTCCAGACAAGGCTTGGGGCCCCTGTGAATTACAGATTTACCTGAGCCAAAGGGAAAAGGAATGTGGGAGGAGAGTTTCTTGAGTGGCAATGTCCCAAACCCCTTTCCTGTCTCTGGAAAGAAAAAAGCTTGTCAAAAGCAGTTCAGAACTTATTACATGACCTAGAGGTGAGAAGCAAGCATAACTGGGTCAGGGAGAGACTCAGAATCACTTCTGGTTTCAGAGGGGAGGCTCCACACTCCATGTCTTGAGGACGGGACAATCTTCTCACAGAAAGTAGGAGGACCCTCTTGGCCCTGGCCACAAGGGGGTTCAGAATATGGGGTTCATATGACCCTGAAGAGCATCCAGGTCCATCTGTCCAATGGGAGAGGATGACCTTACATTTCTCTCCCTGGACAGAAAGGATTGCCTAGTGTGGTAGGAGGAGAGCCTCATGCCCAAGTGGGAGCCAGGCCCCTGTCCCTAAGGCAAAGGATCTCTTGTCCCAGAGCAAAAGCTCGGCCCCAGACTCTTTTCCTCAGAATCCTACCCTATTCATATCCCCAAGGGGAGTTGGAATCTGAGGCCCAAAGTCCCCGAGGGAGGAAATCTTATGTCCCTAAATGACCCCTATGACTGGGGTGTCTGTACGTTGTCTGAGGTGAGGTGACAGTACCCTCAGGGCAGTTTTAGAAATCAGCTCCTAAGGAGAGGAACAGGCCTTCGCACACCTGAGGTAGGATTCAAACCCTGGGGGTAGACTCAGGACCCTGTTCCACAGGGATCCTTTATCCATGCCCCAAGGAAAGGGTCTCAGGGGTCAGGTCTGGGGGAGGAGTCCTCCTGTTTCTCAGGGGTACATCTCAAGTTTCTTGAGAAGGAAGCTCAGACCTTACCTCTAGAAACAGAAGTCACCAGGGTATGTACGAATCTCCTGTCCCTGAAGGAAAACTCAAGAGTCCTTGGTAGAGTGGCTCTCAGGCCCTTAAAGGTAGGCAGAGATCCATAGGGAGGCCCCAGACATCATCTCTGGGATTCTATGTTGCCCATGTCCCCTGAGTAGTCGTCTCAGGCTCAAGTTCTCAAGACATGGGTCGTGTGTCTCTGACAAGAAGCTTAGGCCCAAGGGGGAAGGGCCTCAAACTACTGTCACAGAGAGAAGATGGGATATTGTATCCCCAAGGTATGTTTCAGTCCCTTATAACTGAGGTAAAAGGGTCACATATCCTTGTGGAGTGGGGAGTCTGAGACCCCCAAAACCACTCAGATACCAGTCTCAAGAAGGGTCTCCTAAAGACTTCACCTCTGCAGCGGGGCACCAGGCCCCTGAAGAGGCCTCAGACTCAGTCCCTAAAAACCTCAGTCCAGGGCCAGATGCAGTGGCTCACGCCTGTAATCCCAGCACTTTGGGAGGCTGAGGCGGGTGGATCACCTGAGGTCAGGAATTCGTGACCAGCCTGACCAATATGGTGAAACCCTGTCTCAAAAAAAAAAAAAAAAAAAACACCTCAGTCTGTAAGAAGGTAGATCTTAGGCCCTAGGATCCAACCCTCTGAGTCTCATTCTCCTGAAGAAGCTTCAGGCCCTTGGTGGGAGGTGGGGGCTTTGAGGGCCCATCTCTTCTTACAGGGAGCTTAATATTCTGAAGAGAGGTTCTGGCCCTTGTCTCCAAAGAGGTAGGTTGCAGGCCACTGATAGAAAATGAAGACCTTTGTCACTCAGAAAGAGGATGAGTCTCATGTACTCAAGTAAAGCTGCCGGTCCTTGGGTGTTGGTTTTGGCCCCTGACCCCAAGGGCAAGGGAATCATCTTCCTGCAAAAAGTTTTATATCTCTGGAAAAAGCTTAGAAGACCCCTCTCCTTAAAGAGGGCGTTATGTGTTTATCAGGACCTTGATTCTAGAAGAGGAATTCTCAGGCCCCTGAAGACAGAGTTAGGACCCTTGAGGTCTCAGGTCTGGCTATTCAGTGGTCCTGTGTTCTATTACCCAGCAAAGCGGAGACGGTTGTCCTATATGCAGAGTGTCTCAGACTCTTGAAGGGGCTTAGGTTCCTTGGGGATGTTCATACCCCATCTCTGGGGTCTCTACTTTATTTGATTTCCCTAGAGGGCTAATCTCAAACTTCTATCCCAGAGAAAAAGAGCTCTTAAGCCACTGAACACAGACCTAGGTCTCTTGGGAAACCTGAGACTCCTGTTCAAGAGGGGCTCGATCCTACCTGTGTCTCTTGGAGAATTCCCACCTATTGGCCCTACAAGATGAGGTCCCAGGAACTGGAATGACGACTACAGACCCTAAAAGAGGCCTCGGATCTCTACGAGGTCCTCTTTGGAAGTCTGCCACTTCACCGTAGGCCTCTAGCCCCAAATCCCTAGACGGGGGGAAAGAAGGTGTCTCACACCTCTACCACGAGAGAAGACTGTCAGGCCCAGTGAAAAGGCCTAGATCCCTTGGGGAGATCTCAAACAGCCTTCGGGTACCTTCACAGTGTGGGGGTCCCATCTACCGTAGCCGCCCACCCATCACCCCACAGCTCTTACCTGCTCGACAGTGGCAGGATCCATAGCCTCGATGCGTGCTGCAGCAGCCTCATACTCGTCCTCACTGTTGTAGCCTGCGCCGACCTCCTCACGCTCGGGACTACCCCCGCCAACTGCGCCAACCCCGGGAGCTTGACGTCGCCGCTTGCTGTGGCCAGGCCCAGAGCAGCAGCCGCCCACGCCTACGGCACCACCCACACCCACCACCACGCCCGCGGCACCCACACCCGCCGCCGCTGCGCCCAGCGCGTCACCGGGCCCGCCGCCGGGCCCACCTGGGCCCCCGCAAGGAGGTGGAGAAGCCTGTTGTGGCCGAGGGCCCGCCACTGCACCAGGCGGCACGGCCAGTGCCCAGCGGTGAAGAGCGCCCGGTGGTCCTGGTAGCGGGCCTTGAGGCGGTGGCGAAGCTCGAGGACGGGCCCCCACCACGCCGGAGTCACGGTCGCGATCGCCGCCGCCCACGCCCGTGCCGCCGCCGCCCACGCCCACACCCCCGCCGCGCCGCGGCGCCGGGGGCAGCGGCCCGGGCGGCGGCGGCTCGTTGGCAGGGTCGGCGTCGGGAGGCGGCGGCTTCTTTTTGGGGAGTATAGTCATGGCTTCACCGCCGAGTGCCCCCCAGCAAACCCGGCGCAGAGCACGCCGGGAGAGAACCCGGATGAGGGGGCTAGTGTAGTGCGCGAAGCACGACGGGAACGGCGAGACCCGGATAAAGAGATCGCGGCACCGGTCCGAGAACCCGCGGCGGCGGCGGCGGCGGCGGTGGCAGTGGCGGCGGCGACAGTGGCGGCGACGGCGCGCGGGTCACGCCGGGAGAACCCGGATGTGAAGTCCAAGATGAAGGCAGTGCGGCGAATTTGTCGTAGCCTTCTCTCCAAGTCCAGCAAGTTTATTGCTACGCTCGTTCTGGCCTTCTGCTTCAAAGGAGACAGAACCAAAACAAGCACCTCTTCACTCCGCCCCCTCGCAGGTTCTTGCACTACCGGGTGGGGCCCCGGGGCGCTGCGCACGCGTGCCAGGGCACAGCCCCGCCCCTCGCTCGAAGTACGTGGGCAAAATCGTCGCCGCTGCCACAACAATTGCTAACACCAACCAATTGAGCAGCTGCGTGGGTCCCCGACGACGCCCACGGGCCAATCAGAGGCGAGTGCTTGCCCTCCGGTGCCCTCCGTCTCAAATTTCAGTCAAAGTCGACACCCTCGTTCCCAGCCTTTCTTGCTGTCGGTCCCGTCTTGCTCTTTACTTTTCTCCCCGAAGCTCTCACTTGCAGGCGTCGTAACTGTGGACGGACAGCGTGGCCTGTTTCACCTACGAAAGGAAAAACGCCTCCCCTCCAGGCTTCCAACTTGAACGCTGTCAGCCGGACTGACAGGAAAACATCAACAGTCCAGAGCACAGCATTCCTCTCGAGCGTCACTTCCGATATTACCCCCCTGCAAATACCCTTCCGGGGGAGGTGGACACCGCTTCACCCCAGCAACAGCTTAAGTTCTGCGGTGATTGGTTAAGAGACGCCGTCACTCCCGTCATACCGACCAACCTTGGGACCGACAGGCACCGTGGGGACAGTGGTTGTTTGGGAAACAGACACGCCTTCTCTGGCGACACAGCACTCTCGCCCTCGCGGTGACCTCCCCGCCCCTATGGCTAGTGCGCAGGAGCGGCCCAGCCTTTTTATTTTTAATTGTTTCCTAATTGAGACGAGGGTCTCACTCTGTCGCCCAGGCTGGAATGCAGTGGCGCGATCATAGCTCACTGTAGACTCCAACTCCCAGGTTCAAGCGATTCTCCCGCCTCAGCCTCCCGAATAGCTGGGACCACAGGTGCACACCACCACGCCCGGCTAATTTATTTTTTCACTTTTTTTGTAGGGACAAAGTCTCGCTACGTTGCCAGGCTGATCTACAGCTCCTGGGCTCAAAGGATCCTCCCGCCTCAGCTTCCCAGAGTGCTGGGATTACAGGCATGAGTCACCGTGCCTGGCCAAGCCTAGCCTTTTTCTAAAACTAAGTTTGCCTGGGTCGATCGAGGTTTATGAACCACCTCTGTCACCAGTCAGCGTCTCGCAATGGGGTTGGCAAAAATCCCTGCTATTGAGTGGCTGGAGAGCTACACACTAATCCTAGCTCTGCCCTTCTTGTCTGAGTGATCTTTGGCAAGTCATTTAGCATCCACTCCGTCCTCAATTGTTGTTGTTTACTTTTTTTTTTTTTTGAGTCGGAGTCTTTCTCTGTCGCCAGGCTGGAGTGCAGTGGTGCGATCTCCGCTCACTGCAACCTCCGCCTCCCGGGTTCAAGGGATCCCCCTGCCTCAGCCTCCCGAGTAGCTTAGACTACAGGTGCACACCACCACACCTGACTAATTTTTTGTATTTTAGTAGAGACGGAGTTTCACCATGTTGGCCAGAATGGTCTCGATCTCCTGACCTCCTGATCCGCCTGCCTTGGCCTCCCAAAGTGCTGGGATTACAGGCGTGAGCCACCGCACCGGCCTGTTGTTTACTTTTTTAATGGAACGCTTCACAAATTCGCGTGTCATCCTTTCAAATGGTGCCATGCTAATCTTCTCTATCGTTCTAATTTTAGTATATGTGCTGGGAAGCGAGCACCCATCCTCAATTTCCACTCTATAATAAATTGGCAATGATAATTCCAATCTGAGGATCAGAGATTAATGCTTGTAAAGGGCCTGGTGCTGTGCCCACCACATAGAACGTGTTTAATAAAGTAGTCTGCATGGTGGTACAGTGGAAGGACCCCAGGCTTTGGAGCCAGAAAGATCTCAGTTCCGGGCACAGATGGACCATCACCAACTAAGACCTTGAGGAACTCATTGTGTTGCTTTTGGGATTACCCATATTTAAAACGGGAATGATAATGCCTGCCCATACTATCTCAGGGAATGGTTATGGGGTTCAGATGAGCTGATGAACCAAGAAGGTATTAAGAGTTCACTTCCAGTCTTAGGAGACAAACCATACAACAGGTCGACTGAAAGAGACCATGGGAAAGCTGTTTTGAATAGGGCTTTGATTCCCTTCAGATATTAACCCTAGTTGAAGTTCTTCCCTGAAAGGCATTAAGTAATAAATGGGCTCTAGTAGTGTTTTCTGCTCATGAGACTTAATGGGAGGAGGGGACTTTCATGTTTACCGAGCCTGTTGTGTTTAGGGCTCTGTGCCAAATACCTATGCACATTATCATATTGAATCTTCTCATGATCATCTCACTCCAGCCCCATATATTCTACTCATTACACATCTAAAACTGAACTCATGATAGTAATCATGGCTACCTTTCACCAAGTACTTACTATGTACCTAGCACTGAGTGCTAAAAGCTTTGATGTTCCCTTTACCAGGGAATAGTACTCCCATCCAGCCACTGCTCAAGCCATAACCTGGGGGTCAACCTTGACTGCTCCCTCTTCCTCAATTCCCACATGCCTGTTAATCCCAAATCCTGCCAATTCTACCTCCCAAATCTCTAGATTCTCCAATTCTACTGCCACTACTCTGGTCCAAGCCACTGTCACCTACCACCTGGACTACTATGAAAGCCTCCTCCCTACTTTTCTTCCTTCCAGGACTGTTTATATCCACTCTTCACAAACAGAATGATCCTTCTGAAACAAACTTCATTATGACTTTTCTGTTTAAGAGCCTTTAGAGGTCCCCACTGTCCTTAGGATGAAGTTCAAAATTTGCGTCATAGCTTCCAAAGCCTTTTGTTATCTGGCCTACCTCTCCATCCTTCCTCTCCTCACAGCCTCGCACTCTCCTCCCTAGCTGGACTGAACTACTTTCAGTTCCCTGAAGGCCTGAGCTCACTCTCTAACCTCCAGGTCATTGCACATGCTGTTCTCTCTGTCTAGAACATTGCATCCTTTCATTTGCTGCCTGGCTAACTCCAACTCATTCCTTGTGTGTTGGCCAGGTTAGGTTCTCCTGCCATCTGCATGCTTCCATAACACAGGGATCTTAGTTCTGCCACACCATGTTGTAATGACTTAATTGTCTGCCTTCCATGCTCAACTCTACATCAGAGACAATGTCTACTTTGCCCATCTTTGTATCCCTAGGGCTGGCACATGATGGAAGTTAATAAATATTTGGTGACTAAATAAATTATCCCTGTTTCACAGATTAGCAACCTATGCAAGAGAAGGTAAATGATTCTCTCACCCAGGGATTGAAACCCAGGTCAACCTGAATCCATGGTCTGTCTGCTCAGTGCTCTACAGAACTCAGCCACACACTAACCTGGTATAGCCAGTAGCCCAGAAGAGAGAATGTAGGGGGTGCCCACAAGGAAGGGAAATTTACCAAACCAAGAGATGCTTTTATTAGGGTTACATTCAGAGTTGTTTGCTGTCAGGAAGCCTGGGTTTAAGTCTCCTCTAACCAACTTATGTGTTTCTCTGGGCCTCAGTTTCCCCATCTGTGAATGAGGAGACTGGAGCAGATGATATACAAGGAGGAATGTCTCAGGACTCCCTGGCCTTCCTCACTGACTGTAGATGGACTCTTCAAACCACGTTCTTCCATTACTCCTGGATTCCCATCTTCCAGAATATATCACCAACCATCCATCTCCCATACCTTGACCCATACCAACCCTTCTCCTAGCTAAAAGGGATCAAAATCAGAGTGTTTTCAACCCCTCCAGCCCAACCCAGCCCCCAAACCCACAGAGCCAGGAGATACTCAGTCCTCATCTCTCCTCTCAGGTTTTATTGACTGATGGAAACTACATCTTTGTCAGCCGCCAGCTCCATGGGGACAGTGCTGGGGACAGGGAACCTGAGATGATACCAGATTTCAGCCTGAGAGCAGAGTTCTGGAAGGTGACTTGAGAGAGAAGAAAGGAGTATGTGAAAAGGAATTGTAAGAGAGGAGGAGGAGATCAAGAAGTTCCTCCTGTCTCCTGTAACTCCCAAGTTCAGGAACATCCCAGGCCTGAGCCCCCAATGCTTCTGGACTCTTGCCCAAGAACATGGAATCAGCCCATGATCTCCAAACACCGCCCAGCTCTTGCTGGCTGCCAGGCTCTTATCTCAGCCAGTCCAGACTCCAGCCCACCCCAGGAAGGAAGCAAACCAGAGAAGAGAGGAGGAAGAGTAGTTAGAGGTGGCCCCCTGATCAGGGCAGATGTAAATGCTGCAGCAAACTGGTCAGAGGCTTTGCATAATGACACGGCAGCAGCTGCTATTGCTAGAGTTTGCTGTGGGCCCAGCAGAGGATAGTGTTGCAGGGTCCCATTTCCAGCAGCCAGGGAAGGGGATGGTGAAGTTTGTGCTATCTGAATGTGTGTTGGGAGAGGAAGCCTGACCCCTCAGGCAAGGCCTGGGGATGGCAGGTCACTGCAGAGGCCATAGCCCATGAAGCCTGTGTTTGCATTCCAAGCTTCGGAATCTTGGAATTGTTGGGCTAGATGGAGGGTGAGGACCTCGCTTAGAGGCAAGATCAAAGGTGAGGGTTCTCTTCTCTGAACCTCCAAAGCTCCATATCCCAGCTGGAGGGAGAAGGAAATCTCAACTCTCCTTCTTAGGCCAGAGCTCAGATGTTGGATCAAAGCTTTACCTTCATTTGAGAGCCTGAGGGGAGGAGCATGCAGGAGTCCAGCTGGGAGAGAGGGGCCATTCCCAGAGTGCTGGGGCTAGGAGGCCAGGAGCCTGTGGAAGCCCAGTGCTTCAGCTCCCACCAGGAAAAATGTCTGGGATGGGGGGAAGTTTCCCATTCCCTGGCTACTTCCCCACCATGTGGACCATTTCACAAAACTCCATTGCATAGTTCTCAGTGGGGGGCAGAAGGGGTCCCCAAGCCTGCCCCTCTCTGCCTCCCAAAAATATGGCTTTGGAAAGGAGTCCCCAGAAATGAAGAGGGCCCTCTGAATGGGCAGGCCTACCCCTCACAGGGATGAGATCTTGACAGTTTCGGGGAAGAGGCAAGGGGTACCCAGGCTGGAGTTCCTGAGGGTGCTGCTGGCCCTGCCGCCACCGCCAGGGGAGGAAGGTTGGCTCTCATCTGGGGTGTTGGCAGGAGGGGTAGGGATACTGATAATGGCAGCCACGAAGTCCCGGCTGTCACAGTTCAGGTCAAGGCTGTCATGGGGCTTGGCATTGAGGCTTGAGCGGCTGTGGACAAGGGTGGAGAAGATGGAAGTCTCTTAAAAAGTTATTTTAGGCTGGGCACGATGGCTTACGCCTGTAAACCCAGCACTTTGGGAGGCCAAGGCAGGTGGATCACCTGAGATCAGGAGTTGGTCTTCAGCCTGACCAACATGGCAAAACCCCGTCTCTACTAAATACAAAAAATTAGCCAGGCATGGTGGCACATGCCTGTAATCCTAGCTACTTGGGAGACTAAGGTGAGAGAATCACTTGAACCCAGGAGGTGGAAGCTGCAGTGAGCTGAGATCACACCATTGCACTCCAGTCTGGGTGACTGAGACTCCGTCTCAAAACAAAACAAAAAAATAGATGAAGAATGAGTTCCAGACAAGATAAACCCAAGCTCCCAGCATGGAGGGGTTTGGGTTCGAGTATAACTTGCTAGGCCTGGAATCATGAAATCTCAAAACCACTGGTGCAAGCTCTGAGCTTCCCCAGGTATGGCTAGCAGGTAGGAGGGCTGCTTACCTCTGAGGGGCAGGGCTCCTGTGCAGCCCTGCCAGCATGTCCAGCTCCTGCATGCTGCCACGGCTGACTGAGGCAGTGGAGTTGGCAAGGCGGATGGCACGGCGTTTGGCCCTGCGAGGGCAGCAAGAAGACAGCAGGCTGCCGGGCCCCGTTGGCTGGGAAGACACAGAGGTGCTGCGGCTGGTGCGGCCACCCAGTGAGACAGCTCCCAGGGCTTCACTGAAGGTAAGCTCGTCTGTGAACTCATAGCACTGTGGGCAGAAGGGAGGCAGAGTCATGGGGCATCCCATGGGAGCTGATCTCACCCTCAAGCCTTTGCTCAGACTGTTTTCTCCTTTCTGGAAATTGCTCTTTTCCCTTCCCTTGCCCATCCTTCAAGGCTTGGCTCTCCTGTAGCCTCTTCCAGGAAGCTCTGTGTGATTTCCACAATTTGTAGTGAGCCTCCCATCCAAGGGAGAGAGCTGGCATGGCCATGGAGGGACCCCCCTATATTCTGCTATACCACCTCACATTAGGCCTTACCGTTGTCTTCTCCAGACAGTGCAGCAGGTGGTGATGTTGCTGTTCGAAAGCAGAACGGTTCCTGACACACACAGCCTGTTCCTCACCACTGCCACTGTCCTGGAGTGGATGGAGCAGAGTGGTAAGGGCAGCATCCTTCTCCCGCTGTCATGGCTCACCCTAACCCCAGTCTAGACCCCAACCCACCTCAAGGCCCCCATTCTGCTTGTACTGCAGGAAGGCATTAGTGGTACCACTCTTTGCCAATCGGATCCTTGCCAAGCGCACCTTCTGCAGAGAGAGGAGATAAAGGGTCAGGAGGTAAGCCCCAAAGTAGACTGGCTTGGGGTGCGGACAGTAGGAGGTGCTCAGATGGGAAATGTGGTTACCTGCTGTGCTCTGCGCTTGTCAGCCCGCTGGTTCTGGTGGTAGATGCGGCTAAAGTTGGACACAATGACTGGCACAGGC